ATAGTTTAAAAACTGAAAACCCAGGTTTCTTTTCAACATATTCCTTATCCACTTAAAACAGCACTGTCTGACCTTATCAAAGTACTTAAAATATTATCAAGGTTTTTACTCCATGTGCCTAATTTATCTCAGTGAAACAGAAAACTTGACAGAGGAAGGTGACCTTAACTGCTCACTCACAGGGACCCAAGCCCCATGGATGGCAAGCTAGGCAACAGAGACACTAAATACCTCAACGAAAGGCTCTGCCCACCGAGCTGATGCCGAGGCCAGTGTCCGAATCCCATCCTCAGCCTCTCTCCAGGTTGGGCAAATAGCCCATAGTGTCTCTGGTCCTTCCCCGCTCTCAAATGAGATTTATGAGGTTTAGTAGTGAGGTAAGGGAGTTGTCCTGGTTTTGCCACGCTGGGTTGACTATGGAACACTCACTTCAGTGACTCAATTTCCCTATCTGTACAAGGCCTTTGCATCTTGGCCAGGGTTGTGGCTTGGTGCTAGAGCATTTGCCTTGTATGTGAGGCACTGGGCTTGACCCCCAGCACTGCAAAAAAGAATTCTTTCACCTCTACACGTCATTAGGAAGAACCACTTATTTTCCCTATGCTTTCCAGCCAAATCGGAGAGCAACAGGAAGAGAGAGGGCGGCCACTGAGGAGGCCCCAGACTCCCGCCATTCTTCTGTCCCTAGGCTCTACCTGCTGGGAGTGACAGAATTCCCGTTGCTCGCAGGATTTGCCATTCCTAAAAGTAGGAGACCTAATACAGCGCTTTAAACTTAGGAGGTGCTTCCTAAGTATTTAGGCCCTTTGATTTTTTTTTTCCTAAGATGCTCCTGATCTCCACCTGCCAGAGGATAGCAAAGTGTTCAAGAAGTTGCTGCTGCAGGAATTTCAGATGGAGGGATTAGAGGCTTTTGGGGGTTGGATTATTGAAACTAGTTTTTCCTGCTTATCCACTCAAACTTTTTTAAGCTTTAAAACATATTTAGCAACTTGAGTCAAGAGCATTTCAGAGACTCAGGTTCCTCCTAAAACCAGCCAGCTTAGCACAGTGCCCCATGGCTTGTACTCGTAAGTTGCCAGCCTCACTTCAGTTCCCACAATCCTTCTCCTAGCTGTGCCCTCTGCCAGCTGTTTCCCCACTAACTGAAATAGAAAGAGCATCTCCCTCCCAGGGATGAGTGAAGATAATGTCTATAAAACGCTTGGCTCGGTTTGATTCACAGAAATGTTCACCTCCAGGTCCTTTGGGAAGTCACATCTTTCCACGAGCTCCTGGGGTACTTTAGTAAACCAGTTGGGACAATTATATCATGGTTAATGTGAAGAGCAGGGGTAGATGCAATGAGAACGTATTCTTTAACCAGAGTGGGGAAATGTATTGTTGAGAACCTAATGAATTAAAGGAACTTAAAGTGCAATCAGACAAGAACCTAGAACTTCGACAGAGATACAAGGAGTCCGCTCAGCAGTCAAGAGGAGAAGTCAACTCTGCTGGCCTTATCCCTGCCCAGCACAAAGCTGGACTACCTCCTCCACATAGGTCAGTATCCTGGAAACTCAGGTGAGTGAACCACGGGCAGGCAAAGACCTGACAGAAGTGACGAGGGGAATTCGAGCACACCTAGCTATTGCCAACATTTCAGATACAGACAGTAGGGTCTACGCCATTATTTTTGGGGAAAGGGAAAAAAGAGCATGTATTTTCAAATGCCTGTTTTATCTTTGGCTTTGGGGTCACATCCACCAGTGTTCACTCCTGGTTCCACACTCAGGAATCACTCACGGAGGGTTTGGGGGACCATATGGGATGCCGGAGATTGAACCTGGATCAGTCATGTGCAAGGCAAGTCCCCTACCCACACTGTACTATTGCTCCAGCTCCCTCTACCTGCTTGATGTTGCTTGAACAAACTCGAGAGAGATACATAAGCAATCAGTGATTGTCAAAGGAGAGGAGAAGATGGAGAATTTTTCAATGAATGTTATTGGCGTTTGCCTTGCACGCAGCCAACATGGCCGACCCGAGTTCGATTCCTCCGCCCCTCCCGGAGAGCCCGGCAAGCTACCGAGAGTATCTCGCCCGCACGGCAGAGCCTGGCAAGCCACCCGTGATGTATTTGATATGCCAAACACAGTAACAACAAAGTCTCCAATGGAGACGTTACTGGGCCCGCTCGCGCAAATCGATAAACAACGGGAGGGCCTTTACCTTTTACCTTTACCAAGATTTCTTTAAGGTCCAACAGAAACACTCATACCCATGATCCCACTTCCTCCCTTCCAAAGTGAAACTCTACACAGATTTATTAACCATGATATTCTCTTACCTAAAACTGTTAGAGAATATAAACAATATTTACAAGCTCCTTCAAAAAAAAAACCCTATATCTTATCTTTGTATCCCTCTACCCTGGTCCAAGTAGTTCTATGTAGTCAATTCTGAACAAATAAATTGAGTAGGATCTGTTACTTAATTGGGACGAATTCCTGTTTGGAGTGATAAAAACTGGATTTAGCAGGGATGGCTATACAAAGTTGTATATTCAATTAGTGCTGCTGAATTTTACAGTTTAAAATGTTTAAATTTGGGACCAACGTGATAGTTCAGTGGGTAGGGTGCTTGCTTGCACATGGCCAACCCAGCACCTCATATGGTTCCCTGAGCCTGCCAAGAGTGATCCCTGAGCACAGAGCCAGGAATAAGCCCTGAGCACCACAGAGTGTGGACCAACATACCTCACACCCCACAAAGTTTAAATTTATGTTAGATATATATACATACATATACATACTTCACAAGCAGATCTCCAGAAAGAGGTTTCAATGGGAAACAACTTAAATCTCAGGTAAGAAGATCTCTAGACGTCTTCCAGAAATATAAGAGGTATAGGACTGGAGCGACAGTACAGCAGACAGGGTATTTGCTTTGCAAGCATCAGACCTAGGTCCAATCCCTGGCATCCCACTGGGTTCTGAGCAATACCAGGAGTGACTCCTCAGTGCAGAGGCAGGAGTATGGTCTGAGCACAGTCAGGTATGATCCCCAAAAAAGTCAAAACACACAAAAATTTTTAAAAAACTTTTTAAAGAAGAAAAAGAAACATAATAGGTACTCAGTAGGAATCTGGGAAAAACAAATGTATAGATAGTACAATCATATGAGAATGTCAAATCTATCATGTTTTACAAAAAGCTATCATGTTTACAACAGAGCATAATGCATATAAATGACATGAAAGAAATGATCTTTTTAAGGATTAGAGACGCTCTTGCAAACTTTTTTATTTGACTTCAATAAAAATTGTTTCTTAGTTCAACAGGAAGACAGCAGAAATCTTCATACACAAAAAGCTCAACAAATGCCAAAGGCTTTAGTTTTCAGTTCCATGTCACGACCACTTCTGATTCCTTCCCTGGGAATTTCCACCCAGTTGCTTGGTTCACTTAATCATCTCCCTGGAATCAGTCTTTTCTGGACACTTCGCAAATCCAGCACTCCATCACAATACATCAGCCATCTATAAATGGTGGATCGTTCAGTCAGGGAGTATTCCAGGTCTCATGCTCAAAGCCCAAAAGGCACTGGGGTATCTGATATGCAAAGTAGCAACCCCCCTTTTGAGCCATGTCACAGGCCCTAAGACTGTTTTTTGGCAAGAGGGTGCAGGGGAATCTACATCCCATGGTGCTCAGGGCTTACTCCTGGCGCTGTGCTCAAGTATTACTCTAGACACTCAGGAGTCTATATGGGGTGCTGGGATCAAACTCAGGTTGCCCACTTGCAAGTCAAATGCTCTGTCTGTTGTACTATCATTCTAGTCCCAAGACTTTTTTCTTTTCTTTTTTTTTTTTTTTTTTGGCATTTTGGGTCACACCCAACGATGCTCAGGGGTTATTCCTGACTCTGCACTCAGGAATTACTCCTGGTGGACCACATGGGATACCAGGGATTGAACACAGGTTGGCCAGGTGCAAGGCAAATGCCCAACCCACTGTGCTATCACTCTGGCCCCCAAGACTTCCTTTTTAAGGGCTATGGTAATCCTGTTTTTCATCCCCCGTCAAAGACCATCAATATAAGAAATTGTCGTGCTACTTAAAAAATTTAGGTAAAGGCCCTCCCGTTGATCGTCGATTTGCTCGAGCGGGCCCAGTAACGTCTCCATTGGAGACTTTGTTGTTACTGTGTCTGGCATATCGAATACTCTCGGTAGCTTGCCGGGCTCTCCGAGAGGGGCGGAGGAATCGAACTCGGGTCGGCCATGTTGGCTGCGTGCAAGGCAGACGCCCTACCCGCTGTGCTATCACTCCAGCCTGGCAAGCTACCGAGAGTATTCGATATGCCAAACACAGTAACAACAAAGTCTCCAATGGAGACGTTACTGGGCCCGCTCGAGCAAATCGACGATCAACGGGAGGGCCTTTACCTTTACCTTTACTTAAAAAATAGAATTTTGGGCCAGAGAGATAGCTCAAGGGGCTGAGTGCATGCTTTGCATGCAAAAGGCTAAGGTTCAACCCCAGGCACTTTATGGGCCCCAGAGATTCACTGGAAGTGACGTGGGAGCGCAGAAATTCAAATAGTTCCAAGTATCACCAGACTATGGGCCTGGAGACCAAAAATCAAACAAAGAATCTTAAAGGGTAAAAAGTAAATAAATAAATAAAACCCTTCTTAAACTTATTATTAGATACATTAGCCAGCCTTGTAAGGTGTACACCAGACTTGCTATTTCCAAGTCAAAGGACGTGAGACTTCTCAAAGCAAACCACTGCATGAAAGAAATGGTGGGAGGGGTTGGAGTGGTAGCACAGCGGGTAGGGCGTTTGCCTTGCACGCGGCTGACCTGGGCTCGATTCCCAGCATCCCATATGGTCCCCTGAGCACTGCCAGGGGTTATTTCCTGAGTGCAGAGCCAGGAGTAACTCTGTGCATCGCCGGTGTGACCCAAAAAGCCGCCCCCCCCAATTAAATAAAATAAAGCAATGTCCTTTAAAAAAAAAAAAAGAAAAGAAATGGTGGGAGTCTTCGGGACACCACCCCTGAACTCAGGGTGGAATTATTTTCCCTTCCTGAACTAGATCCAGCCATACTGCCTAGCCACTCAAACTGTCTCTTAAACACTGGCTTCCAGCTCTTCATCGTTCAGCCCTGGGGATCTCTTCTCCTTATGCTCGTTGTTACAGTCCGGGGAAATCGTTTTTATGGTGTTAACATCTGAGTCCAGTTTTCTTCTTTTCTTCTGCTGGTGCAAGTGAGATTTGGACTTTATATGTGCTGATAAGACAAATTAAACGGGGGGGGGGGGGGGGGGGAGAGGAAAACACAAAACAAAAACTCATTAAGAATTTCTACAAGCAATCCTAGAAACACATATAATTAACTTTATAATCCCTTTTATTTGTGAGAGGGTATGGGACACCTGAGGATTCCCAAGAGGTGCTCAGGGGGTCTGGGAGTCAATTCTGGAGATACAGGTAAGCGGCTCAATGTGAGGGCCTAAGACTCAGAACTGCTTGGGCCCTGCAGGCACCATGGTGATGCCTGAGGCTATAGTGCCAGGGACTGAACCAGGATCATCTGCATTGCAGGACCTGTGCTCTAACCCCTGCACTATTCTGTTTCCTCCTCTTTAACAACAGCAGGATCAACTAAGAATTAGGGGCCAGAGTAATAGTACAGTGGGTAAGGTGATTGCCTTGCATGCAGTCAATCTGACTTCAATCTCTGGCATCACATATGGACCTACAAGTCCACCAGCCAGCCCTCCTCAAAAGACAAAACAAGATGACTCATGAATTGTTATAGCTGCTTAACTATTTTGTTTGGAGCGATAGCACAGCGGGTAGGGCTTTTGCCTTGCATGTGGCTGACCCGGGTTTGATTCCTCTGCCCCTTTCAGAGAGCCCGGCAAGCTACCGAGAGTATCCCGCCTGCATGGCAAAGCCTGGAAGCTCCCCGTGACATATTCGATATGCCAAAAACAGTAACAAGTCTCACAATGGAGATGTTACTGGTGCCTACTTGAGCAAATCAATGAACAACAGGAGGACAGTGCTACAGTGTTTATTGTTTGGGGGCCACATCCAGCTGTGCTCAGGGCTTACTCCTACTCTGCGCTCACACATCACTCCTGGTGGGGCTAGGGGAACGACCATATGGGATGCCGGGAATCAAACCCATATTTTTAAGGGAAGAATTACTCTACCTTGCCAGTAAGCCAGAGTGGGTATCCACATATCACGTGGAGTATATTGGCTTTAGATCACTAATCCTCCTGATAGTCTTAAGGGCAGTACTTTTCAGGTTCTTCTACATGGGCAGAAACTGAAGTTCACAGAAATCTTACGTTTGCCCAAGGTCACACAGCAGGTAAGCTCTTTAGCTCACCTGCTGCTTCAATGAAGAGCAACATTTTCCAGAATCAAGAACCTAGACCCAATTTCCCAGCATAGGGCTTCCCATTACAGATACACTACAACTCGATCAGCTACAAAACCCCACAAACCCCAATCCTCACCTGGATTATAGGAAAGATGCCCAGCCTTGATGCAGGCCAGCAGCACCCAACACTGCCTTTCCCCACTTGCTCCTTGTCCACACAGGGACATCCACATGCCTGCCAGATAAGCCATTTGAAAGACTAACCCGCAAATGTCCCCTTCTCCAATCATGCAATGAAAATCTTATTTAGGAATACCTAAAAAGATGACTAAAAGAAATTCTCGTATGTATAAAAGAATTTTTTTTTAAAGCTTAGCACTGTAGCACTGTCCTCCCGTTGTTCATCGATTTGCTCGAGCAGGGACCAGTAACGTCTCCATTGTGAAACTTGTTATTACTGTTTTTGGTATATTGAATACGCCACAGGGAGCTTGCCAGGCTCTGCCGTGCAGGCAGGATACTCTGGGTAGCCTGCTAGGCTCTCCAAGAAGGACAGAGGAATCGAACCCGGGTCGGCAGCATGCAAGACAAACACCCTACCCGCTGTGTTATTTTTAAAGCTCAGAAGCAAGAATAAATAAGAAACAGGTTAGAAGTCAGAGAAAAGTTTGCTTTGGGGGAAAAGTCAGCTTTGTTCTATAGCTAGAGCCTAAGGCAAAAAAATGGGCTCTGGCCTGGCACGGGAGATGGGAGCAAGGAGCTGACAGATGGCACCATAGAGGCCTCACACAAGCCAGGCTCACAAAAGCTCACAAATGTTGCTTCTCTATGGCTAGCCCTGAAGGACAAATCGAACCACTAAGTTTCCTTTAGAAAAAAACAATCAGACGCTCTCTTTCTGTTCCCCTTTCATCATTATAAACCAGCAACAATCGAGGCTTCTTCTGCTGCTTGGGCAATCACAGCCATCCCCAGTCTGTGACAATGAACTTCATTTTACTAGAGTTTCCAATTAATAGAATTCATCATACTATTAGTTGATATGGGGAGAAAAATCTTCTTCCAAGAGAATCCCATGCAACACAGTCCTCCTGAACAGAAGGATGACACCACTGAGTAAACAGGCCTAGTGAGCCCAAAACGAAGGCGTTTATTATTATGATAGAAACTCCAGTCTCAGAAATTGAGGCCCTTTGGGCTCTGACTGGATGACATAGAAATACAACAGGGGTCTGCAGTGTGTGATCTCGAAGAGGCACATTCAATCTCCACTGCAGGGAGCCAAAAGCCCGAGGGCCTGGGCTGAGCCATGAGGTTATTCCCCGGCTGCCTTCTTCATGTCTGTCTTGTTTCAGTTTCCCTTAATGCTGCATCGGCCTGTTTCAGCACCACCACCTCTATAAGGCATTGCAGAAGTGACAAGAGCCCCTCCTTTTGAAGATCCTACGAACAAGGACCAACTGCACTTCTTGTTCCCTTCCAGCTAATTTGGTCACTTGGGTGAGCTGCCTGGATTCCTGTGCAATCCTACCTTACCCCCACTGAGGTCTTTAAAAAAAAAAAAAAAAAAAAAAAGGATGGCCAAGAAACTCCTATAGGGCAAAGGAACTCTGGAAAGTTAAACCTCTTCATATAAAATACACCCCACAGTATAAAATACCCACTGAAGCTAAAGCTAGAAACAATCAATCTTCCTCTGAAGTCAGAGTACAAAGACAGTTCTCCAGTTGGGAAAGTCCTCCATGAAAAGTGAGCAAGGCTCTAGGATCAATGTACTCAATCCCTTTACATGGAAGCAGATCATCATCCAACTCAGCAGAGACCTGAAATTTCACGCAGTCAGTGAAATTTCAATGTGACCCGCTCTTAAATATCCCCCAACCTGCAGTCTTACCTGCCCACTCTCGGTCCCCAATAATGATTCGATCACAAAGTTCACACACATGGTGACTTCTCTTGTTCTCTATTTCAGTACATGACACCTTCACCGGAGTGGCTTCAGGCTTGTGGCCCTAAAAGGACAAGAGGGAAATGGAGAAGCATTCAATGGAGAGACTAAACACCATTCTCTGATACAAAAGGGATTAAGATTTTCCCACGATTCATCTTCTCATCCCAGAGAGCAGGTGGGCTCGAGCAGTTTAGCAACCTTTCTAAAAAGCAGAAATGAAGCCTTTGGGGATCTAAAAGCTGTCAACATTCTGTCTCTATCCCATGGCAGAAGAAGGCTTGGTTCCCAAGGTGCCAGGAAAGGAAGTTCTTCAAAAGCCAGGAAACAGTCCCATAATTAATAATCACCTGGATAAAACTTTGCACAATTTCAAGAGCAGGTTCAAGAACAGACTCCTCCCACTTCGAAGCATCAGAAACTTCTAAGCCATATACCGGGGGAACATTGGAACCAGGTCCTAATAATGACAAAGAAAAGTTGTGAGAAATCAGGTCCAAGACCCAATACATTCTGCTCACAGGACTCCAAAACTCTCAAAAATTTAAGAAACTCAAGTTATCATTCTGACCATGCCATTTGTCCTAACCTGAAAAATGAACCAAACAGCAACTACAATCCAAGATAGATCTAGAAAGTTAACTGGTCTGCAGCCAACAAATCTAGGAGTAGAATCTGGAGACTCTGGTACAAGATATTCCAGGTTGGTTGGAAAAACAGAACAGAAAAGCGGCTCTAAGGGCTACAATATAAAGAGAACACACTAGAGGAAGAAAAGCTAACAGCTGGCAAGTGTCTGTAATGTATTACAGTGATGCTGCTCTCTGGTAAGAGTTTACAGCTTTCCTGAGACACAGACCTGGTCCAGGCTTGTATATATCTCTCAGCAGACTGGGCATTCATGAAACTCATGGATCCCATCGGGTATGGGCTGAGGCCATTAACAGTCACGCCAATGATTCTGAGAATTCTAAGGAAGTCTTGGGATTTAGTCATCTGAGCCTCTTCTTTTAGAAAACAGTCCTACAGGACTATTTGAGAAAACATCCCCTACTCAACGCTTCTGGAGAGGAGACTACTTGTAGACAGGAATGCAGCTCTGAGCATTTTATCCACCAGAGCTGACTGTGCACAAAGCAAACTGCCTTCATGGTTTAAAGGCAAAGAGCATCGCCCCATGGAGAAGAACTTCAAAGTCTCAGGATGCCAACAGCTAGCAGGTGCTGGCCTTTTGAATGTGCCAACCACAAATAAGAGTCTTCATACGCTGGACTGGGCCGCACCTGCCACCACATGGAAAGGTGAGACTAGGAGAGTGCAGGCAGCATCCACAGCACACCTGGCCTTGGCGAAGCTCTGCACCTGTTTCCAGGCCACTCTATATTTTCCTTTCCCCTCTAAGTCCTTTGTTGGGCTTCTGTGCCCTGTCTAAGCACCTTTCAACAAGTTCTCGGCTCCCAGCTGCTATTTCTGGCTTGGGTCCAAGACCAAGATGGGGTGGGGAAGTCCCTCTGGCGACTTGCCAGAACCATATCCAAGCCAACCAACTCTGGCCAATCACATACAGCTCCTGATTTCCAGGGCAGCTGTGCCTTTCACTCTAGCACCAGGACTGTGCCGGCAGACACATGAGTAAGGAATGGGCATATGATGCACTGTGTCACTCACTCCCCCATCTCAGAGATGGGGGAGTCTCACATCATCACAAAAAACATCTTTTGTTACAGACTGCCTGTTTGCCCCAGGGGGCAGAGAAGCATTACAAGTATGCAGTGGGGAAGTTCACTTTCAGCAGACTCAAAGACCTCTAACAGGACGTGCAGAGACAGCAGGCTGAGAAGTGTCAGAAAGAGTCCCTTGGCACCAAAAATGAGCTGGCGTGTTCTGGCCAAGGGTGGAATTGGAAAGAACTCAGGGCTCAGCAAAAACGGTGTGGGTGGTCAAGGCCAAAGCCACGAGCAGGGCTGGCAGCCTCAGCTGTCCTGTGTCACTAAAACACAAGTCTAAGGGTAAAAGGTGACATGGAAGTGAGTCAAAAACTAAGTGGTCATATTCCAGAAGTGTCCACAGGTATGACTCCCTGGACTCAAGTTCTGTAACCAAAGAACAATGAGCAAAAATAAAAGGCCCCAGATAAAAACTAGGGTCTTACTCAGGCTTAATACTCTTTAACCATCTTTTGGTTCAAAACCACACAATTTTTAAAAAATTTTTACTAGTGAAACACCGTGAGGTACAGTTTAGACTTAGAAATTTTTGTGCTTGGATTTCAATTATACAATGATCAAATACCCATCCCTCCACCAGTGCCCATTTTCCACCACCACGGGTCCCAGTATCCCTCCCACCCCCCATCCCACCCTGCCTCTGTGGCAGGGCATTCCCTTGTTCTCTCTCTCCTTTTGGGTGTTGAAAACCACACAATTTTTAAACTAAAACCCCAAACTAATGCTGTCTAAAATTAAAACTTCAAAGGTAACAAAATAGTGTGGTTAAAAAGGAGAGTATTGGGGCCATAGTAATAGTACAGTGGGAACGGCATTTGCCATGCATGCGGATGATCCGGATTCAATCCTCAGCATCACATTCTGATCCTGAGCTTTGCCAGGAGTGATCCCTGAGCACAGAGCCAGGAGTCAGACCAGAACACCCCCGGGTGTGGCGCAAAAGCAAAAATAAAAATAAATAAGTAAAGCATATTTAAAAATAAATAAGTAAAGTGTTGACTTTGGAGTCAGGATTGCATTTTTTCCTTGGCTCGGAGACTTCCAGCAAGCCATTTAACCGAAATCTCTATCACATACATGTGCAGGAAAAGAGGAACACCCGTCTTGAGGGCACAACAGTATATGTGTTGCACCAAAGTTTAGTGCGCAAAATGCTGTAGAGTGAAGTAAGTAAAAATATCCTTCCCTTTTCCTTACAAGTGCTGCTATTCAAATAGAATTAAAATGGATACATCTGTGCCAAGGTGATAGTACCATGAGGAGGGCACCTGCCTTACACATGGCCAACCCAGATTCAATCCCAGAGAACCACATATGGTCCCGAGCCTTGCCAGGAATGATCCCCGAGCACAGCTGGGTATAGCCCCCAAACAAAAACAAAACAAAACAGCTGTTACATCTGAAGAACCAGCTTCTAACCTCCAAGAGGATGCTGAGAGAAGCAGAAGGTGATGCAGAGGAAATGATGGTCTTGTCTTTCTCTATTACTTCTCTGGTCCAAGAATCATGTTGCTTTTATTTTGTCATACTCTCCCCATCCCTTCTCTCTGTCATTGCTTTGATGACTGGGGTCACATATACCTAGTGCTGGCAGCAATGCACACTTGAGTTGTGGGACTTGCATACATGCTTGCCAGGGATCACAAACAGGACTGCACTTGGCACATGAAGTGGCGCACAGTACTGAATTTTCAGTCTTACACCTGCAATGTAGGCACTCGAAACCACTGAGCTCCCCTGAACCCCCCCAAGAACCAAATTACAAAGTCTTCCTATAGAAACTAGACTTCTTTCTGGGCGAGCAGGAAGGAAAATCAATCCTGAGCACCAAATCTGCAGAGAGAATGTTAATATTCTGCTCTACTTATTTGCAATCAGCACCACATAGTCAAGACATATGGCAGATTCCCTATAGGGATTTGTTTTCAGAGACGTCACAGAAAACATACCTGGACAATCATTTATGCAACAGACCTTTCCTCTGGTCAGTTCCACCCAAATCTCAAAAACACACCAGGAATTCAGGTTTATTTTTAGTAGGATGTAGGATATATTTATATTTTACTAAAAATAGGGGCCAGAGAGATATTATAGTGGGTAAGGCTTTTGCCTTGCATGCAGGAAACATGGATTTTATCCCCAGCATCCCATATGATTCCCTAAACACCAGCAGGAGTGATCCCTGAGTGCAGAGTCAGGAGTAACCCCTAAGCATTGCCGGTGTGGCCCCAAAACAAGAATAACAAAACTTTAGAGGCAGAGTGATAGTATAGTGGGTAGGGCATTTGCCTTGCACATAGCCAACCTGGGCTTGATTCTCAGCATCCCATATGGTCGTCTGAGCACTGCCAGATTAATTCCTGAGTGCAGAGCCAAGAGTAGCCCCTGATCATCACCAATGTGGACCAAAACCAAAAAATTAATTAGTAAAAAAAAAAAAAATAAAGAGACTAAAGAATATGGAAAGCATGAGACTTACTGGCCAAAAACCGATTTTTAACCCACTGGTTCTGCTTCCTGGCATATCTCTTTGTCACTTGTTTGAGAGTCTCAATGCCTAAAAGATAAAAAGATGTGAGTATACACTTCTCACCCTGTTAAAAGGAAGGCCCTCCCAGCCCCACAGATCAGAAAATAAGTGACAGGAGCACACTTGTGGACATTGAGTAGGCAAAAAGTTCAATTCTGAGTTCTGAAGGCCCTCTGGGGCTCTTCCCATCTCAGCTGTTCCTCAGATCATACCGGCAGGGTGATGTCACCCACGGATGCCCATCCGAGGCTAGGTTAAATAGAGAAATCCACACCTTTCTTTAGGAGCTGGTTACTAGTCTCTGGTGTGCATTTTCCCTCAGTGATCAGGTACTCGTGAAATTCCTTGAAGCCAATTGACTGGAAGATACCATGTTGATAGTCCTGGCTGGAAACAGGAGAGCATCAGCAGATGAGCCACTGCATCTGAGAGCTACCAGGGGCCTTGGAGATGATCTTGCTGAGCCATTTCCTCTCCGATGAGGACACTAAAATCCTTAGCAGTCACTGCCTCTCTGAAATCTATATTCCACCACCCCATCAGAAACAAGGTTACTTCCCTAAAAAATTAACTCCTGAGAGGCCAGAGGGATAGCTAACTTAGAGGCAATCAGGATCCTGAGTTCAGGTTTTTTTAAATTATTTTTGTGGACCATAAGCTCAGGGCTTGTGCTCAGGGTCACTCCTGATGGTGCTCAGGGAACTATATGCGGTAGCAGTGTGCAAAACAAACACCTTAAATTCTCTGCTACCTCTCTGTCTGGACCTGATTTCAAACTCCTGCACCACATGGCACCAGAGCACCACTGAGACGCATCCTCAGGTCCTAGCACAGGTGGTCAGGTTATGCTAGGAAAGGCCCTTCACCCTATGAGCACCACTTGAGGGGGGAAGAAAAATAGCTCCTGGAAAAATACAGCTTATTAGCAAACTTTATAACAACTACATCAAACCTTTTCCCAGCAAGCCTGGCCAACCCCAAGGACAAATTCCAAAGTCAATACTATGTTATTCTGACCACAAGAAAGGGATGAAGAGTAGTTCAGAGTAATAGCTAAAATCTCACCTATTTTCTGCAACTTTCTTCTGATTATAGCGTCTGTGGAAATCTCTGAGTTCATCCAAAAGCCCAGCAGCAAGCATCTGATCCACCCTTTTATCCAGGCGCTCATCTAAAACTTGAATCACATTAATCCATCAATGAGCAAGGCTGTCTTGGGTGCTAAAAAGGGGATTTGTTCAAATGGAAAAAAGGGTTCAGAGATCAAAATTGTATTTCATATATAACTTAACTGTGCTATCTTACCTTTAAATTAATTTTGGATTAAATGCTGTATATGAATGGGGAACTTTAACCCCCAGTCATCCCAGATATATTTTGAACTACCAAGCAGACAAAGGGGCAAAGAGCAAACAGTCACGACCAAATGGTGTCATCTGCTGTCCACAGGTGTAAAAAGCTGGAAAGCACCATCACAACCACTGCAATATACTGGTCAAACAGATTCACTGCGAATCAGATACTGTTTTTAATGAACTGTAGCAGTCATTTTTTATTTACAAAAGTCATTATTACCTGCTTCCACATCTCTACCATTGGTATTTCTCAGTCTAAAATGAGATTTCTTCCTACTTTCCCCAAAACTTAGCAATTACAAAGGACTCTCCGTGTGTCCAGCACATCCTGAGCTCCCTGTGCTTATTACCCATCTATCATTCTCACTTCCCCAATGCCCGAGTTGCTGCAGCTGTTGCAATGAGCAAAGTCACACCATTTGGGCCAAAGCGCTTGCAGTGTGCTTGTCTAGGCACACTCATACGTTCGGCTGTAGCTCACTGGAGATGGCATATCTTGACTGGAACGTGCACGCACGTAGCTGGTGCTCACACACACACCTGACGGTGCACAACTCCTACACTGTGCTATGATGGGAGAGGCCCAGAGAGCGGCAGGGACCACCCTTGGTTCAGTAGGCAATACCAGGGATTGAGCTCATAACTCCACGCAGATGAAACAGGCTTTCACTGACCATCAATGAAGCTATGGGGTTTGTGCTATTACCAGGATCTCCGTATTACAGAAGAGAAAATTCAAAGTTAAACTAATTTGCCTTAAAACTCACCCAGAGGGCACTAAGAGATAGCAGAGGGGTAAGGCACTTGCCTTGCATGTTGGCCAACCCCGGGTAGCCTCCCCTGGGACTCCAGAAGCCCAAAGCACAGCCAGGTTTAGCTCCCCAACCCCACCCAAAAAAACCCTTACATAGAATGAGGTCTGAGAGCTCAAAGGGCTAGAGCACAGGCCTTACATGCTAAGACCCCGTCACCTCACGGTCCCCCAAGTACTGTGAGGGTGGCTCTGGTGATTCCCAGCATCCCTGAGGCTATTGTAGCCCCTATCATGGAACCAAACACTCAACCACTGGGCCCAAAACTGGAGGGCCCCTCTAAAACAAAAGCATCTCACAGAAGATGGTAGAACAGGAATCCGAATCGAGCCCTGGCACAAAGAACATGTTCTTACCTGGTACACTCTAACTGCCTATTCATACAGAAACCTCTTCATTTTGGCCAGTTAGAGCGCCCAAAGGGCTACATATGCTTCACATGCAGCAACCCTGGGTGAAATCTCCAACCCGGAAGGGTCCCCTGAGCACAGCCAGATGTGGCACCAAAACAAAAGTGACCAAAAACCCCTCCATATCTTGCCAGACCTGACTCCCAGGTTCTTTTACCAATGGGTTCCTGAGTTCCCAGAGAATTCCCATCATTCTTCTTGGGGGCCATAAAGAACTTTCTACTCCTGTTATTTACCTTAGTTTTTTTTTTTTTTTTTGGCGCGTCTAAGAGGAGACACTGTTGGAAAAGGGATGTGACTCAAGTAGTAGAGCATATGCCTAGCATGTGAGACTTCCCAGCCCCTGCTGGCTATAGCCCTGGTCACTCAGGTACCACCAAGAATGTTACTCCACCCCAAAAATTAAATAAATGAAACAAAATGGAAAGGGGGGAAGGAAGGGGGAGGGAGAGGGGCAGGGACAGAGAGGGAGGGAGAGAGGAAGGAGGGAAGGACAGAAAAGGAGAGAGAGGGAGCGGGGAGAGGGTGGAGGGGGAAGAGAGAGAGAGAGAGAGAGAGAGAGAGAGAGAGAGAGAGAAAGCGAGCACATGCGCTCATATCCATCCCCCAAATCCAAGTATTGCACAAAATACTTGGCAGTTTACTAAATCTTTTTTTTGGGGGGTGGGGTGTGGGAGAGAAGCCCTCTGCAATGCTCAGGGCTTACTCCTGACTCTGCATTCAGGAATCATTCCTGGCGGTGCTCAGGGGACCATATGGGATGCTGGGAATTGATGCTGCATCGTCTGCACGCAAGACAAGTGCCGTATCTGCTGTACTACTGCTATGGCACCATCACGAAATCTTACTAATGAATACTGAAAAGTTATTACCATCACACGGTGTTACTGTAATTTAGCAAAAACAAACCATTGCGTTAGTTACTGCTTTACAGGCTTACTGCTTCTAGAATAATTAGTGGTGCAGTCTCCAGCCAACACCTCCTCAGAGTGGCTTATTTCCCCTTCTCCTTTGGTCCCTTTCCGGAAGGCAACCTCTTGTCCATCCCATCTCATCCCACACAAGGCGTTTCATCCCAATGTGAGATTTCCTCCCTCTCCAGAAAGGTCTATGGGAATGGCACCGCCTCTAACTAAATCAGTGAAAAAGGATAATGTGTAAAAGCAAATACTTGTTCAGTACTTATTATGAGCTACTTTTGGTTCTAAGCTTTTTCTATAAGAGGGCTCTATTCCTATGAGTCCTATCTCTAACAGACTCTAGGGCATCAGAGGGCTTTTACCTTTCTGGTCAGCATGAAGCCAGAGGATGCAAGGGTTAGGGAACCTCAGAGGGCCTCCAAGAGGACCGCCACCTTCCTCTGCATGTTGGCGATGAAGAAACTCACTATGAGAAATTCCCGTTTCTTCAAATACTTGCAAGCTCCTAGGTCATTTAAAAGAGGAGGGAGAACACTCATAAAAAGCATTAGAAAATGTTAATTCTCACATTAAACAAAAAAGAGAGGCTTTTATAGAATGCCTTGTTCTTGTTTTCACTACACAAGCCCCTGAAGGTCTGAGGATACAGGATCAGTCCAATCCTAGAGTTACTCAGAAGAGCCCTAAAGAAAACGTTAGAGGAGCCAGAGAGATAGCCCACTGAGAAGGGTTCTTGCTTTGCTTGCAGCCAACCCAGGTTCAATGCTTAGCCCCATATGGACCTCGGAGCCCTGCCAAGAGTGACTCCTGAGCAAAGAGAGACGCATAAGCCCTACGCACAGCAAGGTGTGAACCCAAAAATACAAACAAAAGGAAAAAGAAAAAAGACAATGATTTATATAGCAAGAAATATTACTATTCTTCCCAAGATAACTTTTTCTAAATCAGTTAAACATGCTCAGAAACAGGTTTCTTCTACACGAATAGAATAGGACTGACTCACTTTCAGGTAAGCAGGAAAGAGTTTGTTTGGGACACTGTTACAAGCCAACAAGTCTAGTCTCGCTGGAATGCCTTTCCCACAGTACAAAAGTATGTTGTCTATCCAGTTCACCAACTTTCCTTTTAAACACATCTAAAATTAATAAAGAATGCTCTGACTAATTTGGTACTCTAGCAGCCGAAAGATCGCTGAAGAAAAAACTCACACACTTATTCTTAAGCCACATCCACTCTCCTATCTACTATGCTATGCAGCACCAGGTAATTTAATTCCTAAATCTATACTCTACCACTCTGGGTGATTGCAGCTTATCAGCTTGAAAGTGATCTTTCTCTTCCTGACCCAATTCCACTTCCTGAAACCCTAACACCAGAGTAGAGAGCTCTTGTCTTTCTCCATCACTGGCCACTCAGAGGGGACTAGGAGCGAAGAATGTAGCAACAGACATCTCACTTATCTAAAGGTTAGAAGACAACCTCAAACTAAAAGAAAATTGAAAAAAAATTGCCCAATCTTCTCGAAGATTCTTACAGAGTTCTTACTTAGAATCTAATGACATACTAAGATACCATTCTCAGCTCATTTCTTATGTGACAAAATAGGGTGATAAGAAATGAGGTATAATAAGGCAAGAGAAATTGTACAATGGATAAGGAACTTGCCTTGCACAGCTGAACTGGATTCAATCCTGCATGGCTCCTGGAGCCCACCAGGAGTGATCCCTGAATGCAGAGCCAGGAGGAAACCCTGGGCACTGCTGGGTGTGCCCCCAAACAAAAACAGTATTGAAAAGTGACCAAGGGGCTGGAGCGATAACACAAAGGGTAGGCCGTTTGCCTTGCATAGGGCTGACCCGGGTTCGATTCCCAGCATCCCAGATGATCCCCTGAGCACCGCCAGGAGTAATTCCTGAGTGCGGAACCAGGAGTGACCCCTGTGCACTGCCGGGTGTGACCCAAAAAGCAAAAAAAAAAAAAAAAAAAACCTAAAAAGTGACCACTTGTGTCTCTCACTGTGATTCAATATTAAAAAAAAAAAATTGATCATGGCATTCTTCCACTGGGCTGGAGCGATAGCACAGCGGGTAGGGCGTTTGCCTTGCAAGCAGCCAACATGGCCAACCCAAGTTTGATTCCTCCGCCCCTCTCGGAGAACCCGGCAAGCTACCGAGAGTATCTCGCCAGCACGGCAAAGCCTGGCAAGCTCCCGGTGACGTCTTTGATATGCCAAAGACAAGTCTCACAATGGAGACATTACTGGGCCTGCGCGAGCAAATCGATGAACAACAGGAGAACAGTGCTTACAGTGCTTATTCTTCCATTAAAAAGAAAAAAAAAACAGCAAAAAAAAACCCATCTTTTTCTTTGGCAGGGGTGAAGAGAGGATTGTGGGGGTTACATCCAGATGTGCTCAAGGACTGCTCCTGGTTCTGTACTCAGGGAACACTCCTGAAGGGGCTTCGGCATGTCGGGAACTGAACACCAGTCAGCCACATGCAACACAGGTGCCCTAGCCTCTGTACTATATCCCCAGCCCCTGATAAACCTGTTGAAAGATTTCCACTAAAATATTTGAAATAAACATTTGGATACTTCAAAGTATAAATTTTGCTTATCTAGACTATGTATCTTCACCATCCTAAAGGAGGAAAAATAACAACTGAGACACTGCAACTGTCTGTGGAACACCAAAGGCAACTATGACTTTAAAAAAAAATATTCTTTAGTATTAAATTTCACTTAAGGGCAAGGAGAAAGTACAAATAGAAAAAGGCTTCTAGGTCGGGGACAGCAGTAAAATCAAGGGTTAAGGAAGACTAATCTAGAAGAGTCCCTGGAATGGAATTATTTCACAATCTCTATCAATTCCAGATGTTAATGCCATTCGTAGAGCAGGTCCTTCGTTAGATTCTGTTCTCTGTCTGAGTATGACTCCCCCCCACCGACAACAGAAAATAAACAAGAGGCAGCATTTTCAAAACAACCAAAGATGTGACCTTATGAGTTCATTCACCAACTTTCTCTTCCCTTCAAGGAAGGGAATGCTAAAGGTGAGCTGATCTATGAGACAGTTTGTAAAATCTGCCTCCCACTGGGAAAGCTGCTGGAGAGGAACTCAGCATTGCACAATCAATTATGAAACCCAAATCATAATGTAAACTGCCTGCATGCCAGAAGAAATTTATATGAAAACTGTTATACAAGCAAAGATCAAATAGAAAATGAGGCAAGATTACATAGGCCCTAGGGAAAACTGTATTGTATTATGCATTTTAAAAGTAACAACAAAGTAGGGTGCAACTATTTACCAAGGGAGTTGGGCTGAGGCAATAATTCAGGGCCTACCAACCTGCTAAACTAGAACACATCCATCTCCACTAATTGCTATTATCAAACCTCTCGTCGTTCAAGCACTCTGAAGAACTGACGACCCTGTAACCTCACTGGATCTCAGGGCTGGTGGGCCCCGGCTCTCTTACCTGGCTACTTTGCGCTTATCATGGGGGTGCAGCTTTGCAGCCATTTCTGGATCCACCTGACTCAGGCGTTTGTAGAGTACGTGACTATCCTCCTTTTCAAGCTCTACTTTCCGGTCAATCACTTTCTCGGCGCCCGTCTCCCGAGGCTGTTAGTGAATGTTTAGAAGTGATTTAAAATTAATAATTCAACTTCGAGACAGTATATATATGCCAGACACTTTGCTTAGTGATGGTAATAGAGAATAGAATGTACCAGGTCTTGCTATATAGTGAGACAGGTCATAAATAGAAAAGCCCAATATACCATGTTAGTACCATGAGGCCATAGCAAAGAGGAAGGAGGACTTACCCCTAAGGAAGTACTCAGGTACTGCGCTTCCTTGTTAGATGCAAATGCAGGTAACAAGGAGAACATATCTACAAGACTAACTTACCTAAGAGCCTAGGTACCTCAGCAAGAGATACCAGGGTGGACCAGAATTGCTACATTACAGTTTACAAACTTCTACCTTATGCAATAGCATCTCTGTAAGTAAGGTTAGTGCTGGACAGCCCCTTAAAATATAGACTGTTAGAGCCAGGAAATGCTGAATCAGACTAATGTACTGTTAACTTACATGAAGATGCTAATTAATTCACAGAGAACTATCTTTCCCACGCACAGAGCCTGCCCTAAGGCCAGCCTAGAGGAGCACCCTTCACATACAGACACGGCATTTGCTTCAGAATATTAAGGAGGAAAATTACAGTTGCTGAGTATAAGAAACAGGCAAGAATCAACCTTCCTCCTTCTCAAATTAGTTGACAAGAAAGAGGAACCGCATTTCCTCAGAGCATTACAAGTGAATTAAACATACCTTAGTGTCGACAAGGACTTTCCAGAGCAGAGACTCAATGTAATAATTTGTTCCTCCCACGACAATAGGAATTTTGTCTCGGGCAAATATGTCTTCAATGTGGACATTAAGGAAGACATCACAATACCTAATATCAAGACCAATTCTGGGACTGGACAAGCAATACACCAGGTAAGGTTCTTTATTTCAGCTGACCCAGGTTCCATCTCTGATATCCCTCCATGGTCCCTTGAGCACCACTGGGAGTAATTCCTGAGTGCCGAGCCAGAAGTAACCACTGAGCATCCCCAGGTATAACCCGAAAACAAAAACCATTTTTTTAAAAAAAAAAAAAAAACAAAGAATACAATACTCACTTGAGAAGGTATTAGCAAAACAACAACAACAACAATAACCAAAACCCAAGTTTAGTTGAGAAACAGGAAAAAGAATTCAGAAACTAATATGAATTAAAACTAGTTTTCACAGTTCACCCTGAATCCTTAGAGTCACTTTTATCAGTTCTGGATAAGCTTGCAGAAAGCAAAGACAAATGCATGATGGTAATTCTTTCCCTTTCTAGAATTTCCTAGTGTTTTTTTTTTTCCCCTAATAAAATTCAAAGCTTGCTTGGTATTCCAAGTCAGTTTAGCAAGGTCAAATCCAAAAGATGATCACAGAATGAAGTGTTGGCTACTCAGAAAGTCAAGAAACATCTACTGCCTGACTCTGCCCCCTCCTACGGCAAAATACAAGCTGGCTTCTAGGTTTAAACTCAGGCAGTCTCCACCATTATGGAGTAGTAGTGCACATTTCAAATCCTGACATTTCAACACACTGACCGAGAAGCACTGGTTCTGGAAACAGATTTTTAATTACTAGCTCCAACTTTAGGACAAGGTATTAAAACTTGAAGTTTCCGTTTTTTTCGCCTGTAAAAGTGTGTGTGTGTGTGTGTGTGTGTGTGTGTGTGTCTCCAATTCCCCGAAGTGCTATGGGCCAACAAGCTACGCTCTTTGTTGTTGCTGTTTTGTTTTTGCTGTGCCTGGGATCAAATCCAGGGACTCATAACTGCGCGGTATGTGCTCTGCTGTTAAGTATCCTGGTCGAAGAATACTTCATATATTAAGTGTATTAACCATTTTCCTTTCCGAGGTAACAAATGTTTTCCACCAGGCTTACTCTTTTAAAATTTTATAGTGAGGTATTTTCTCTGAGTTAGCAATTTTGGGGTGACATGCAGCAATGTTCAGGGGTCATTCCCAGAGGCATTTGGGGGATGGTGTGGTACCAGGCGGCACATCCAGGCTTTTCACACCTAACGCGTGCTTGTTCTTGCCCTTTGAATAATCTCCCTGGCCCCCACTATTTGTTTACTCTTTTACTTTTTGACGGTTCCGAAAAGTGCTCAGGAGGCCTGGGGGTCCAACCCAGCAATTCATGGCTAACAGGACCACTGGCCCAATGATGCAGTGCTACTCTGGGTCAGCGGTGCGGGGGATGAGGTATGTCGGGCTGGAGGTGCTCGGAGCCTCTAAGGGTCACAACTAGTAGTGCTCATTGCTCCAAAGGCTGCACCTGAGGATGTTCAGGGGACCATGTGATGCTGGGGATCAATCTAAGGTTGGCTGCATGCAAGACATGTACCTTAACTCCCGTACAAACCAGTTCACATATTTTCCTTTTCAAAAAATGAAATATTCAACATATCACAGATGACAGATTTATGACACAAAATAAGAGAATTTAGATGTGTACGCACACAGAGCTGATGACCAAGGTGGCTATTTCAAAACAATGTAGTAAAATTATCCCTGGGACAGTTAATTGTCCAGGAATAAAATAAAACCAGGTTCTTGTTATATAAAACAAATGCTAGATAATTTTACAGTTAAGAGTTTAAGAAAACTTTCAAACAAATGTGATTATACATAGTTGATTCAGGTATGATTTTTAAATAGGAACAGACTTTAAAGACAGTCTCTGATTTGGTTTGGTGGGAATGTGGCTCACATTGGACTGGAGCGATAGGATAGCAGGTAGGGCATTTGCCTTGCACGCGGCTGACCTGGCTGGCCCAGGTTCGATTCCTCCGCCCCTCTTGCAAAGCCTGGCAAGTTACCAAGAGTATCTCACCCGCATGGCAAAGCCTGGCAAGCTACCCGTGATATATTCGATATGCCAAACACAGTAACAAGAAGTCTCACAATGGAGACATTACTGGGACTGCTCGAGCAAACCGATGAACGGGAGGACAGTGCTACAGTGGTTCACATGAAGAGCACTTGGCCTTGTATTTGTGAAGCTCTGGGCCCAATTCCCAGCACTGCAAAACCAAAACAAGACTAAAAGACAACACTAAAAGATTTCCAGAATCATTATTCTCCTGAATCGTTATTCTCCACCAAAACAGTCTTCTCAAATTTTAGAGCATGTGAGCCACCTGGGGCTCTTGTTAAATGCAGACCGTTTCACCAATTAGAATTGATGCTGAACCTGAGTAGCAAGAATACTATCTTTCAATCTATAGATTTTACTGGGGATGCTCTCTGTCGGGAGTTAAGTCTGCACAAAAGTGTCACCAAGAAAATAAGTTTCTAAGTTTGGGCTGCCACGAATCCCACAAACCTAGTTGCTACCTTTCCTAAGGATATCAAAGCAGCTGCCTTGTTCCTGAAGTCCACCACTGTGTAATTTGTCACAAGAGGATCCACAAAGCTGATCATATGGTGCCGGCACAGGTTCTGCTCTTGGGCTGAAACCTTATTGGTGATGATGTCTAGACCTTCATAAACCTAAGAAAAAGGAAAATCAACATTAGAGAGTGATCTGCCTCCAAAGACCATGCTCAATGAGTTCCAACAATGCTCTGCTCCTCCTCCCAGTCAAATACCTGAATAACGAAAGTGCCAGTGTAGAGGTATTCTAATCAACACATAGCCAGAGCCACAAAACCCAAAGAGGCATGGAAACAGACAGTCCTGGGGCCAGAGAGACAGCAGTGGGTAAGGTGCTTGCCTTGCAAGCAGCTGACCTAGGTTCAATCCCCAGCACCCCGTATGGTCTCCCAAGTCTGCCAGGAATGATCCCTGAGCACAAAGTCAGGAAGACATAAGCCCAGAGCACTACCAGTGTGGCCCAAAAATTAAAAAAGGAAACACAGAAGTCCTAATGAAATTGTGGCTACTGGCTCAGACTTAAATGACAAAAAGGGAATTAAATGTTCCAGAGAACTAGTTCAGCAAGAATAAATGAAGGTTCTTTAGGCTGAAACTTTAAAGCATTTAAAAACGAGCAGGTTGTTTGCTTATTCTACTTATCACAAATCCAGAAATCCAGAAAAGTAACATTCTTCATTGCTCCTAATTCTACTTCAAATGTTTGAATATTTCGTGGATTTAAATGGCTCTGGACAGTTTTATAATTTGTATAAGATTGGCTCCATTTGTGGAGAAGTAGCCTATCCTATAAAGATATATTATAAAACACACATATACACTTTGAAGTCAGAACCTCTAATACAACTGTACTCTGGCAAAAACACTGTGATCTATCTAAATTACTGCTTCAGGGGGTCAGCACATACAATCTAAATACTCAAAGGCAATATCCTGTCTGTAAGCTCTTGATCTGCCAATTCAACTAAAAAGTTCAAGCATACTTTTTCTAAATGCGAGGTAGGCCTCAGATGGAGAACAGATCTGAAAATACCAGTTTGAAAATAGGGATGAATGCTTTGAGATTAAATGTTCTCTCTGTAATCACTGATTCTACAAGGAACACTGAATGAACAAATAATAAGTTCCATAGAGCCCACAAAGATGTTAAAAGCATTTTTTATCTCACGTTTCCCTTTACTTATATGGGTGTCAAATAAGTAGAGTACAGTATAATGGTTAGGAGAATGGACCCTGGCGCCAGGCTGCCTCAGATCAATTCCTAGCTCTGCCACTTACACACATTTTTTTAGAATAGGGAATAGGGAGTCACTAACCTCTGTATCTCAATTCCTCATCAGTATAAAAGTGAACAATAATGCATATTTCATAGGGTTGTTGTGCATATTAAATGAGTTAATACATGCAAAGTACTTAGGTTTTTCATAGGAGGGTTGGGGCGATGGTTTGGGTTACACTTGGTGCCCAGTGGTCACTCTAGGTAGTGGTGACATGATCATATGTAGTGCAGGGATGGAACCAGGATCTGCTGCACACGAGTGAAATGCTTAGCCCCTATACTATCTCTGCACCCCCCCCCCCCCTTTAACTTTATCCTGGAACACAGCAAATGCTACAGAAGGGTCAGTCTATCACCATCTACAACATAACCACTTCACTGCTTTCACAGGCATACGAGGAGAACGAGAAATAAATTTAAAAGAAAAAAAAAAGTTGCCTGCCACAGAGGCCGGCGGGGTGAGGGGTAGGGCAGGGGGTGGGGCAGGAGAGAAACTAGGGCCTATTGGTGGTGGGAAACGTGCACCGGTGAAGGGATGAATGTTCGAACATCACATGCCTGAAACCCAATCATGAACGACTTTGTAACTGTGTGCATCACTGTGATTCAATTAAAAAATTAGAATAAAGTCTCTACTTTTCTATGCTGGACTAGAGCGATAAGCACAGCAGGTAGGGCGTTTGCCTTGCACGTGGCCAACATAGCCCACCCGAGTTCGATTTCTCTGCCCCTCTCGGAGAGCCTGACAAGCTACCGAGAGTATCTCGCCCTTACGGCAAAGCCTGGCAAGCTCCCCGTGATGTATTCGATATGCCAAACACAGTAACAAGTAAACAGGGCGTTAGCCCCACACATGGCCAACCCAGTCCAATCCCCAGAATCCCACATGGTCCTTGGGCACTGCCAGGAGTAATTCTGAGCACAGTAAGGAGTACTATGAGCACAGCAGGTAGGGCGTTTGCCTTGCACGCGGCCAACAGGGCCCACCCGAATCCTTGAGCATCGCCAGGTGTAGTCCAAGAACCAAAGGAAAAAGAAAACTAAAAGAGGGGCTGAAAAGAAAGTACAGCGATGGTCACCTGGGTCCGACCCCTGGCATTCCATAAGGTGCCCTAAGCACCTCCAGGAGTGATCCTTGAGCATCGCCAGTGGCACATAAACAGGGAGGGAGGGCAGGTGGGAGGGCAGGCAGGTTGGCTAAAAGGGTGTGGGGTTGCAACAGGGATAGCTCAAAGGGTGAGCATACATTGTGAGGGGCAGGCGGCCAGTCTCCTGGTCCCCTGAGCACTGCCAAGAATGATCCCCCACACTAAGTTGGGAGTAGCTCCCAAGGTACTAGATGTGGAACAAAAAAAAATTTTCTAAAAAGGAAAGAAAACTAAAGGGAGAGGGTTAACAGTTGTATGTTCCTCTACCTCTTTTCCCTCAGTCTTTAGTTCTCTCTTTGTAACTTAAAATCCCCAATGTTAAAAGAATTTACACAGCAACAATTTGATTATTACTTAGAGCATTTCTGAACTCTTTCAGTGGACTGACTCTCTCCCTCTCTCCACCCGCTCATCATACCCATGCTGAGGGCTTACTCCTGGCCCTGTGCTCAGGGGATGACTTCTAGCAGTGCTCAGGGTACCATACCCAGTGCCAGGGATTGAACCAGGGCTGGCCTCATGCAAGGCAAAAGTCCTACTTGTTGTATTCTATCTCCAAGCCTGGATTCTCAACTTAATTAAAATAAGCATTAAGGAAATGCACAGTACAAGCTTGCAAGCTAGAGTTTGTAGCCCCCATTTCCCAAAAAGCCAAAATGTAAACATCTGCTAGCATGTGCACAAGCACACTCTACCAGCGATCCAAGAGTAGTCAGGCCTTCGGATGGACCCTCCATAGCCCCTTTATAAAGGCAACCACAAATCACACAAAACATAATCCCTTTTTTAAAAATAAGGAGAGAAATAAGCTTATCTATTAAAGGTGATGGACTGTACTGTTTATGGCATATTCAAATGTTCAAAATATCACAGAAGAGTATTAGTGACTTAAAGCAGTTATTAATGATAGAGTTAACAAATCCAGAAAGTATCGCCAACTTTTGATTTGTTAACCATTTGCTTTTTTTGTTGTTGTTGTTGCTGTTTCGTCTTGGGGCCACATTTGGCAGTGCTCAGGGGTTACTCCTGGCTCTGCACTCAAGGATCATTCCTGGCAGGCTCTAGGGACCATATGGAGTGCTGGGGATTAAACCCAGTTGGGTTTAAGACGAATGCCCTAGCCTCTGTACTACTGTTCTGGTCTACCATTTGCTTTCTAATGTCATCAAATTCAAAGAAAATGAAACACAAATATCAGTATTGGGGCCAGAGCGCTAATACTATTGGGTGTTAAAAAAAAATGAAAGTTTTTTTTTTTTTAAAGAAATTGAAGGGGCTGGAACGATAGCACAGCAGGTAGGGCGTTTTGCCTTGCACATGGCTGACCCGGGTTCGATCCCCAGTATCCCATATGGTCCCCCAAGCACCGCCAGAAGTAATTCCTGAGTGCATGAACCAGGAATAAGTGAATCACCAGGTGTGACCCAAAAAGAAAAAAGAAAAAAAAAAGAAAGGAAAAAAAGAAATTGAGCTGACAAAAGGCTATGTCTGTATTGATGATGCTTCATACTTTTACTGTTTGGGGTTTTTTTGTTTGTTATTTGTTTTAAAGGCTGAAGACTAAACTGGAGGCCTGTTTAGTGGTGCCAGGTATGCACCCTACCAAGCCATATCCCTGACTCTCTTTTCTCTCTTTCACTGACCAAACCCAGCTGTGCTTGGGGAGACCAGATGGTGCGAGAGATCACATCACATGTGCTAAGTATGTATTCTAGCCCTTTGAGCCATCTCCCTGACCCCCAGGCATCTCACTTTTCTTTTAGTATGACTTCTTTTGATAGTTATATATGTGAGTTATAATGTTTACAAACAACTGTCTGATCACATCTATTTCTGTATATTTTTTCATTTAACCCATAAATTTTTAACATGAAGGCAGTTATATATATATAAATACATAAATGTATAAATACATCTACATCATGCATTGCATGATGACAAGGATGATGTTGAAAACATACGTGTTTTTTAGAATGCAAGAGTGTGTGTGTGGGGGGGGGTTGGACCACACTCAGTGATGCTCAGGGGTTACTCTTAGAGATGCACACTTCTTTCTGGCAGTGCTCAGGGGACCATGGGATGCTGGGGATCGAACCCAGGTCAGCCTTGTGTAAGGCAAGCGCCCTACCCACTGTACTATCTCTCCAGCCCCAAAAAAAGAGCTATTTTAGCATTCTTTTGGGGGAGGGGAAGCCACCCAGCAGTGCTAACAGACCACGTAGTGCTAGAAATGGAGCCTGGGGCTTCGACATGGAAACATGTTCAAATCCTTTGAGACGCTTCCCCAGTCTGTCACAAAAGTTATGAATACGGAATCAAAGACTGGGCAATGGTACAAATAAAATTTACATGAGTACCATTCATTTTTAGTCACACTAAAATGTGTTTTATTTTCTGCTTTTAACAATAGAAAAGAAAGCACGATTGGATGATTGGTGTTTCTGATAACGAGGTAGTGAAAATAGACCATAATTATAACTACAAGACTGGAAAACTATTTTTGCTTTTGGCCACACCCAGCTACACTCGGAGCTTACTCCTGGCTCTACGCTCTCCCTAGAAGGGTTCAGAGTACCATATGTAGTGCCAGGGATTAAACCTGGGTTCTTGGTGTGCTAAGCAAGCACCTCAACTCCTAATCAGCTAGGAAATGAAAACAACACAAATGTCCGAAGACAGATAAGAATAGT